TTTCTTATTTGTAAGCTGTTCTAGATGTCCCAATAAATCCTCAGAAGCATTTTACATGTTACTTTATACAAAGTTGCTAATAGAAGTGTTTTGAATTGCAGACGTCGAGATCGAGCACACAAAGAAATAAAGAATATTTTCTACAAGGTTATCCAGAAACGTCGAAAGTCTGAGGAGAAGGAAGATGACATTCTCCAAACTCTACTTGATGCTTCATACAAGTAAGCAAAGGGTTTGAAGACTTGTCATTCATGGATGTTTTACTTTAACTTTGAGCTCTTCAGTTAAAACTAGCTATCAAAAAATAAGAAATATTCCCTCATGTTCTGAATTGGTTTTGTTGCCAGCGATTGGTCCTAGCTGTATTCTTAAAAACAGCTTAAAAACTTTACTTGTAAATGATTATTTAGATTTCTTGAGATTTTCATCAGTGGTCACGAGGTTGCTTCCTTTCTCTTTGCTGGCTGTTCAGTAATGATTTTCTTTAAGGCTCCGAGAGAGTCTCTCTCCCACTGTTCTCCCTTCTCCCTACCCCTACATCTTTTGCTGCTCCATTTAAAGTTGGCAACAAAAGAGGAGAAAGAAGTACATTAGAAGGTTTTGTAAATAGTACCGTAACTGGAAACCTGATCAAATGAAGCTCTAACGTAACACCCTTCAACCTAGGGATGGCCGTCCGCTGACAGATGATGAAATTGCTGGAATGCTTATCGGGCTGCTCCTCGCAGGGCAGCACACGTCCTCCACCACCAGTGCCTGGCTTGGCTTCTTCATAGCCAGAGACAAAGCAATACAGGAACAGTGCTATGCAGAACAAAAAGCAGTTTGTGGGGATGACCTGCCACCATTAACTTACGACCAGGTTTGTGTGTTACATTATTCCTGCAGGGTATTTTTATACTTTTAGATGCTTATTTAAAAAAAAAAAAAAAAAATCCCCCCAAACCCCAACAAAAAAACCCGTGTAATATAGTCATATGCTTTGTGTTAGAATAATAATCTGGCCCAGTCACTCTGTGATAACACTGTTTGCCAATGTATCTCCTCCTTTCCCAAGTAAATTTTCAGCTTGCTACTGTTTTTTAATCAGTGTTGATTAAGGAAATTACAGTTCCTACAATTTCTATTTAAGAAATGATAGTTCTGTAGAGGAGGAAGATCTTCATATTCCCACTGAGGAAAGGGATGCAGTGTAACCTTCTTCTTTAATTAGGCATTAGAAAACGCTTTGAGACAGTTTAATAAGAAACCAGTCACAATTGATTGCACTGGTCAGAGATTTTTTCCTTCTTAAGTGAATCAAATGGAAAAAAAATAATCAGGGTAGCTAATGAAGTACATGTAAATATGAGCTGCTTACTCTTTGATTTTTTTTAAAAAAATTGTTTTTAAATGGTATAAAATACCGTTTTGTTTGTGTTGAATAAACTTGGCTGTATTTTGATACATCATTTCCTCTGTATTTTCAGCTCAAGGATCTCAGTTTGCTGGATCGCTGTCTAAAAGAAACTCTAAGGCTTAGACCTCCTATAATGACCATGATGAGGATGGCCAAGACTCCCCAGGTGAGTAGACTTGTGGCAGCTACCTTCACTTCAGTAGAACAGGGCTGGAAAGGGCCTGGGGGGGGGTGTCCTGGTTGGCAGAAGGAAAAACGTGAGCGAGCAGTGTTTGCTGGCAGGGATGAAAGCTGATGGCATCCTGGGTTCTGTCAGTGTTGATTGAGGAAAGCAACTAATGCCTTGAATGTGATAGTGGTTACCTTCATCTGGGATTATCTGTGTCCAGTTTTGGATGCCTCCGGCCCCCAGCAATTGAGATGTTGATGAAGTGAGGCAAGCAGAGGGCCACCAAGATGGCACGGGGTTGCAGCACTTGTCCTGTGAGGAGAGGCTGAAGGAGCGGGGTTTGTTCAGCCTGGAGGAGTGAAGGCTCTGAGGGGGCCTAGTAACAGCCACTTGTACTCTTATGCAGCAGAACTGACCCTTTCTTTTAGCTGTTAGTCTCACTTGAGTTCTTAGTTTGGTGCTACCATTTAAAAATTTTTTTGTTTGTTTGCCAAGTATTTTTAATAGCTATCTTGGAAAAATTTGGCTTGTACTTAATACAGTACAAGCTAGGTAAATCTGAAAGAAAACTTGCTGTTTGTACAAATAAGATAGAAAGTCAAATCATTTTTTAAAAGAATGTCCCTCCCATGACAAATGCTTTCAACAAATTTTAAGTTAATTCATTTTTTAAAAACACTTTCTGTAGAATTGCCAGCCTTGATAAAGCAGCTGAACGGTTCCTGCAACTACTTGAACACTGTGCCCTGTACTGTTAAAACCATAACGTATTAGGCTCCATTAATTTTAAATGAGCCTAGCCAAAATATCTTTTGAAACTCAAGCCTTGCGATGTAGCACTTCAGTTAACACTTTAAATGGAGAAATTTTGTGATGTGTGGGGTCTTGTCTCTTGTTTTGTAGACTGTTGCTGGATACGATATTCCCCCTGGCCATCAGGTCTGTGTATCTCCCACCGTTAACCACAGACTCAGGGACTCCTGGAAGGATGCTCTAGACTTCAAGCCTGACCGGTATCTCCAAGATAACCCAGCAGCTGGAGAGAAATTTGCGTACGTTCCCTTTGGCGCTGGTGAGTAAGAGAAGGCAGTGCTTTCCCGAGTGATTGCGTGCTGAAATGGTTCATACTGGTTGTCTTGTACAGCAACTCCTCACGCTGTAGCATCTGAGGATGTATTTGTTTTTCTTCTTTCTATTGCTGCCTGAAAGTTTTCTTACTGTGAAAGTGCTGTTAAAAGAATGAAGTCAGTACTTTTGCATTAGTAATAGCTGTATGTATCACTTGGAGTAGCAATCAAAACAAATGTTTAGGTTAGCATGTGTGATACTTGACTCAAGTCTTTCCAAAGCAAGGTGAAAACCTGGTAATATAAAGTCAGTTTAAGGTAGAGCAAAAATCTGCGTAGAGTTCACAACTGCCAAAATAGTTTGCAAATACCACCGCAGTGGGGTTAGAGTTGTTATCTTTTCTCAGTGTTGCAAATGTTTCTTCGGCGATACATGAATTAATGCCTTCTGGTGAGGACAGAACACCACAGTCTCATTTAAATTACTCTGTCTGTTTCATGCAGTGACAGCTTAGAAAAACCAGGCTTTGATGGAGTTACATAATGGCGTCTGTGCAGCATCAGAGCCTCACATTTAGAAAGGAAAGAAGCAATTACTGCCTGCATAACATTTCTAAAGTCAGCTTGTTGGCAAAGGTGATTTAATAATTGAGTATTCTAACTGCTCTTTATGGCTTTCCTTCTAGGCCGTCATCGCTGCATTGGAGAAAACTTTGCGTACGTTCAGATTAAGACTATTTGGTCTACTTTGCTTCGTTTGTATGAATTTGATCTCATCGATGACTATTTTCCGACTATAAATTATACAACAATGATACACACACCTAATAACCCCGTTATCAGATATAAGAGGAGGTCACTGTAAATTCTGCAGCTAAAACCGTACTTGCTTAAGTTGTGTGAACTAACAGACTTTTGAATAAAATCATGGCAAACTGAGTGGCAAATGGAAACTGTTGCATCTACTGTTAGGAAAGCAACAATAATCTACCAACTGCAGAGTCTTTGCATCTGTTTTGTTTGCTTGCACCATTTAATGCTGCTGTGTATAATTGCTTGTTCTACAAATGTCTCATGGCATTTTTAAAGAAAAAGCGTCTTTTCTACTGTTGTAACACTTTTAAGGTGCATGCCAACTCTTTAAGGTGAAGAAATAAGTCATTTTATAAATGGAATTCTTTGCTTTTGAAAAATAACTGAAGATTACTTTTCCCCAGATAACAAGGGGTAAGACTGCATCGCTTACCTCTGTATCCAATTACAGTAAATCAGGAACCCTTTGATATTTGTGATTCTCCTCCAAGCAAACTAGGTATAGTCCTGGCTAATTCTTGGAAGTGCCCACATACTTATCTAAAAAAATGTTACTGTACAGCTGAGTAGTAGGCAGACTACAAAATGTTCACAGAGGAATCTTTCCTGAGAATACACAATTTAAATGTGTAACTTGAAGCAGTTGTAAAATGCTTAGGTTCAGAAAGCAACAAATAGTTTTCTAAAAAAACCCTTCTGGAAGTAGTGATCTCTGGAAGCTTGATGTAAGTGTGAAAGTAACAATGATGATACAGACAACATTAATTTTGTACATAACATGTTCGTGTATGAAATGGTCACAAATTAAGTGAAGTAGCTGAATGTTGTCCTCCTCTGTAGTGACTCACACAGGATTGTTAAATGGTGTTTGGTTCAAGAGTGGTAATGATAAATGGTAATGAGCTCTGGCTCACAGGAACTTTGAATTAAATTTATGAACAAACCTCTTGTGGAAGTTTTCTATGTTCAACCCTGTCACTTCTGAAAAGATTTTCTGAGTGAATTTGTAATAAACTCCTTCCTTTCTTACTTGTAAGTATGAAGGTGGTCATCCTTCATCAGTGCTTACTGTAGCAAGGCCTTTGCCCCGTCTCTCCTGTTCTAAACCCGGGTATAACTTATAAAACCTTGCACTGTGGTCAGTCACAGCAACGGAGGGAGCGCGATGTCTTCCCTTCCAGCCATTCAGATGTGCCCAGGGTCTTCAGAAACCAAGCTTGTACCTGTTTCCTGTCTTCTCATTAGCAGCTGCGGAAGAGGAAAGCTGCAGCCACCAAGAGTAGGAAGAGTGCAGGCAGGAGCAACATTTTCAGTGTGAATAAGGGAGTGGTTCTTGAGCACAGCTAAAAGCATGAAGTTGTCTTTATTTCAGTACATTGACAAAATACCCATAAAATTCAAAACTTCTACCATTACAAAAATAGGTCTCTACAAGTGATATTCTGTCTGCACTGCCAGTAGCAAATATTACGAGTCATGTAACTTCAGTAGCCTTGCCAGAAAAAGTGCAAGTAAACTTCGCTGAATGAAGCTCAATTTCATTAATACACAAGTTTCATCTTTGCACCCTTTTGATACACACTTCATAAGTTAATCATTTAAATTAGCATTCCACAAATATACATGTAATTCAATGGTGGGTTTTTTTTTTTTGTTCTTTTTCATGAACACAAAGTGCCTATATACATAAATCCCAGTCTGCGTGGGTGTGCCAGGATGGAACTGTATACAATCGTATAGCTGTGTTCATATTGGTCCCACAATATACACATTATACAAAAGCACAGAAAGAGCACAGATTTACAGAAGGCAATCCACTAACATCACTGCCAGTGATGGAGATGTTGAAAGGGTATTATCTTCTCATACCCGCGTGCAGCTGAGTGTATGAAGTCGAACCTGTAAGAGGGAGAAAGATTTTCATCAAGATTACTTGGAATAAGTAGATGAGAATTCACCAATGACGTTATTCAGCTGAATAAGCATGAAAGACTTTATGTGGGAAATCTTTTAAGGACAAAACTTCCTCATATGATGGACTTTATGCTGAAATAAGACTTTTAACACAGTAACTGCAAAAATCATCTCCACGTCAAGTTTCATAAACTAAGTCCCACTGATCTGACAATTTTCTTGATGTATTCCTTTTACAGCACAAAAATTACCATCGTCTATGGGACAAAAAGGCCATAACTTCTGTCAAAGCACTAGGAGAAGAAATTCCCCTTGTTACTCCCACACCCCAATCTTTTGGGTACATTTTTCTCCATCTAGCTTAAAATCTTAGTAAGATGCCAGCCGAATTCTTGCTGTACATTTATTAGAGATCAGAGAAAACGTGTTACCGATAAAGTTTGTATTTAAAGCACACTTGTATGTCTCCCTGTGAAGAATTTGCTTTTTAACGAGCTTCTTGCCACAGCTCAGAATAGCCTCTTCATTAAGGCTGGAAATGCCTAAGATCAAAGATGTATGCTACATATCTTGGAGAACCAGCACACAATTTGTAGCCTGGAACCCTGCCTTGTGCTACCCAGGAGCCACGGGGAGGCCTGCCTGAGCCCTTACCTGACTGCACGCTGCCGAGTCGCCTTTGTAGTGCCTCCAGCCGATTGATGTAATCTGTTAAAGCTCTTTCAGGATCATAGTTCTGCAGCTGAGAACAGGCGAAAGAGACTGGATTTAAATCAGCATGCATACCGTGGAACCTAGGGACAGAAGAACACAGATGTTTTTAAAAAGGAACATTTCAAATAGAAGCATCAGCAGACACAGCGAAATACTGTGAGCAGGGATACCTTACTGACTGCATGTCCCTTAAATTACCCTTGTGGTAGCCAGCACATCACACCCATTTAACCTCCCTGCCATTTATTGCCCAAGCCACCCTACTGCCTCCCCCAGCAAAACCACCTTTCCCAGTTGCCTTTTCTTTCTACTGCACCTGATTTGTCGCTGCATTTCTTTGGGACAAAGACTGACCAGCAGACTCCTACTGAGGCTGCAGCAGAAGCCGTGGTAGATTCAAGTCTGCTTTTCTATCAAGAAGCTTGTGTGAACAAGGACACAGCCATCTTTACAGGATTCTGTCTCTCTTTGTTACTCTAAGTAGAAGTCACAAGTGGCTAAAATAGATTAAACCTTTTTCCCTGTAAACTGTTATGGTTGCCACAAACTAAGATTACAAATGTTGTGGTTTATATAAAAACAAAGATCCAAACCAGCAAGAAGCTGATATTCAGTAAAGCTCAGAGCCCACAACTCCGTACGATGTCATCAAAGGCTGGTGGCACCCCTAAAAGCCTTGCCTTTGGTGAAAAATAGCTGGTTTCACTGGCACGTGCTTCACTGATACCTCTGGTATCACAGCTTAGTACAGCCATCCACAAGGGTTTAATCAAAAACAAGCAGCAGAGCTGCCAAGCAGCTTCCACCCACGCTCTGGCCCCGAGGCCGCGGTAACCAGGTGACGCTCCCCGGGCATAGCGAGCAGCCCTGCTTTTCCCGGCCCTGCTTTTCCCTTCCTTTGGCTGAAGGCACCTGGGCGAGTCCCTCCCCACACCACACACTGCTGCCAACCAGAATGGCGGCGGACAGGCAGCAGAGGTTTGCTTAGTCACAAAGCCTAGACTCTACGGGGGTAGGAGGTAGGTAACCATAGGCTCCATCCCATCATCTACCACCAGCTCCAAGAAAGCGACATCAATCAGACAGCAGCAGTCTGCAAGGTTTGGCCTTGATCAGGTGATGAGTAAGCACACACTGCAGGCCTGAGATGTAATTTGTTATGTATCCTTACAAAAAAGTTTAAAAAAAAAAAATCTTACAGCATCAAAGATTACAAACCTCAGCAGTAAGCACTGTTGCATTCATTTAGTTAAACAGTGTTCTGACAGAGAAGAATAATCTAAAATAAAACGTACTTATGTTGAAAGTTTACAGGAGATCTAGGAGACTCCATGTCTGACCTGGATCTATAGGAATGCCTTTGTTCTCCGTAAAGATCCATGCCACCAGAGAATGAATCGGGCCGTAATTCATTACCTAGAAATACAAAAAGCATGTCTTGAATACTAAAACCTTTTGCACTTTACTGGGAATCTCAAATATGAGTTTCCTGTTTGCATATCACAAAAATGACATTTAACAAATGTAGACCACTTTCAGCCTGCTTCAGAGAAAACCAGAGGTGAAATCCTGGCCTCACTGATGTCAATGAGAAAACTCTCACAAACAGCAGGACAGGGTTTTAGTGCAGACCTAGGTAGCCAGGAATTAATAAAAAAGCTTCTGATTGTCCTTAGGCTCCTACCAAAAAGCAAACAGAAAAGCAGACTTCCCCAACTTTAAGCTACAGCAAAAGAATGACAGGCTTTTTGTTCTGAGGGAAAGACCAGGGAGGGCTGGTCAACAGGCTCTGTTGCCACCGTGGGGGTCCTTGTAGTTGCTATGATTCCTCCTCTGTCAGTCCCTGTCCTCAGCATCCCCTCTCGGAGCTGGGGGTGCTGATCTCTTCAGAGAAACCCAGTGATGCAGCTAAAATTGTTTTTACAAACACACTCTACAGGGAAAGTTGCCATGTTTTTTTTAAATCCCACCCACAATGGAGCAAAACAAGATTGAAAAGAAAGCAAATACATTAGCATCTGTGCTGAGCATGGAAACTCTCAGAACCTGAGAAATAGGTTAATCCAAGCAATTACAGCAAAAGGAAGGGGGAACAGCACCCCATTCGTTCCGCAGGAGGAAAATACAAATTAAAAACCATCTCCATTAAGCAGTGGTGTGACTTGTGAATGCCATTTTTTCAGTCATCACTGGACTATGATTTACCTGCGTTCTGGCTAAAGACATCCCTATTGATACTTAGCATAGCAGAACCCGTAACTCTGTGCCATCGACGAACCAGGAACTTCATTCTGCATTTCAAATAAAAAAAATAAATACTTCAGGATAAATGAAATAGTCTGCTAAAAATTATCTGCTTGTTGTATTCTAGAAGGCGTAAGAATGTCTTGAACACCAAGCCAAATTAATGGATGGGCGTCTAAAACCTGAAGATCAAGTAGAAAACACCCTTATACACAGCCCTAAGAAAAACATCTTTTGTCCAAATCTGCTTTCAGCTTCACCTCTGCAATTCCAGTGATTCCAGAGGTGCTGCGTAAGTCCACGTGGACAGCAAATGGCTCAAGCACCTAAGCACCAGGGCATCAGCATTTTAAAATCATACTAAATAGACTTTTTGCCCTGTCGCATTCCCAAAATTGTAACCGCAGAGCACTCTGAGTAAAAGCCTCACTTACAACAGGTATATGAATAGTTCCTTGAATTTATACTGCACACAAGGCTCAGACCAGTAGCAAGCAGAAGTGCTTGGGGATTCAAACCTTTGTGAAGAAGGTTTGCTAGCAACATGGCAGTACTATGCAGTAATAACCTTCACTTTTCTTCCTCGACTATTCCTATTCATCCTCAGTCTGAAACCTAAAGTCTTGTGAATTCAAAGGACTACACAGATGAATAAAATTAGTTCATAACTCTGTATTATACTTACATGTAAGAATTTAACCTTAAAAGGAAATTAAGTTGCAGAAAGTACTTTTGTAAATAAGTGCATACCCTAGAATTGCTAGTAATTTCTTTTTCTAATATTATGACTTTATCCAATACACTCCATCTTTATCAAAAGGCAGAGACATTTTCAACTACAATCAGACTGCTTATTCCTACCACAGATTTTACCTACACTGCGCAACTTGTCACCCTACACAGTATCTACTATATTCATGACTACCAAAACCACGTAATTTAAACAGGATGGAACATGAGAAGTTCTAGATTCCAACAGAGAGCTAGAAAAGTATATATTAAACTGCACAGTCACATCTGTTTGAAATCTAACTTCCTCCAGTTTACCTGGAAATTGCAATGGACACTCTGACTGCAGAGCGAAATCTTGTAAAACCCTTTGAATGATGCGTGATGATTTCAAGGTCTGTGTAGGAAGGCTGTCCACCCATTCGTGCAATGAGGGCCAGTGTGGCTTCTTCACACTCCTGGAATCCGCCTAGTAACAGCAGCAAATATTTTTTCTGATATATGAGAGCTTTCCGAAAGCTCTCTGCTCGTAGGTATTTGCCATAAATTCTCTACAGGACAAAAAAAAAAAGCCCCATAAGCTCCAAGAATTATTACAGTTCTAAGACTTTTGACATCATTACTCCTACAGCGCTTCTGTGATTATTCATTTCTTGCTATCATGGAGAAGACTGCACTACTGCTCACGCTTGTTGAATGTAGCTTCGTAATTTGATGATCACCTGAGCAGCAAGAAATAGAGCACACACAAAAGGACAACATAGTATCATTCTTGGGGAGAAAAATTGTGTCAGGTATCTGAGGATGAGAATTTTAAAACTGAATTAATATCTGTCTACTTAGAATAAGCAGAGTGAACACAATGAAAAAGAGGCCCAAATCAAAATGAAAAAAGCAGCTGTAGTTAGTATGTAGGCAACAAAATCTTCCTACCCTTAAAACAGCGTTTTCAGAATCTGATCCCAGTTCTCTGAGGAAAGCTTCGCTCCTGAGCTCTGCTCTCAGCTTGGAGAGCTCTGCATCGGCTTGTTTCAAGGATTTCTGCAGTGACAGCTTTTCTCTGTTCCAAATTTCCTTCTCAGAGGCAACAAGAGTATCGATATTAACTCCAACATCCGATGAGTGTCTAGAAGACTGAAGACAAAAGAAACTGGATTTGAACCACACAGTTTGGAAAAGCTTGAGCTGTGTCATTCTAGTCACTGGTTTGGTGGAGAGCTCATAAAGGTAATGAGAGTAAAACAACCCACTGATTGGACTGGAGGCCACCTTTGCATCCTAACACCTCGGAAGCAGTGAGTTTAGGAGCCTGATCCACGTCCTAGAAAAATAGAGCTTCTCCAAAAAAAATCCCCCTCATTGGATCATACTAGCTTCATGATCTTGAAGCTATCTGGATCTATTGCTACTCATCACGGTGATGAGATACAGATCAAAAAGAGAAGCACATGGAATTTAAAAGAAAAGAGCAGTTAACAAAAAGAAGCTGGGTAAAATCACAAAGTTTACAGTAAACAGAGTGAGTCGAGGTATATTGACCACAGCACAAGAATAACTCACACCCATTTACTCTGCAGAGGCAAGCCAAGCCAGACAGACAGCTTCATCACTCCCATTTAGGTGACTAGGACAAAGAATGATGCTTTTATGCCTCTATATACATCACTATATCAGCACCACTAAAGACATACGTAGTCTCCAGAAGGTTGTCTATGCTGGTATCTTCTCAGTTCTTCCTCCAGTTTCATAACAGCATTCCTCAAATTATTCTTTTCTTCACTCAGTCTGCTGACAAAGCCCGTCAGCTCAGCATTTTGTCTCAGCAGCCTCTCAGTCAATGAGCTAGACGGAGTCCCTGGTGGTAGCACTAGCTTCAGCTAGAAGGCAGAAAGAAAACCAACCACAACTTGTATTAGATCCAAGCTGCCAACTTGAAAATAACTGGCTTACAGTGAAACACTTTTGTAGATAATGACAATAACTTTGTAATAACTTACATAAAGAAAACATAAGTGTACATGTAAACTATAGATTAATGTGACTTTCTCTTGTATGCTTATCCTGTGTGTCACAGCAGAATATTTTCACGCAAGCTCAATTGTGCCAGCTCTAACAATTTGCAAAGCTCTTCTACTATGTTTAGATTTATCTCTGAAGTCTTAAGGGCACAGGAGCAGGCTGTCCCCGCGTGCCGTAAGACCAACCAGCGGGGAGAACGACCAGCCTGGCTGAATAGGGAGCTTTTGCGGGGACTC